CCTGGGTCAGTGTGGAACTTGCTCAGCAGAAGAAGCGAGGACAAACTGGAACACGTTTGCAGCTCACCTACCAATACGAGGCTTATGCTGGGTTTCATGTTGTTCACCTACATACTGATGGTGCCCCGCTCCTGCTCTTCAGTGCACCGTCGGATGTTCCAATGACCTCGCCGCGAGAACTTTGTGAAGCTGGGAATCTAGGCAACTTGGAAGCCAATGTGATGGCGGGCAGAGCATTACTGGGTGTTCTCCAGTTACCAGACACTCAGCAGCGGTGTGTCATATTAATTGTACATGAAAAGGTGATGTCTAGCGGAACCAGTAAGAACCCTGCTCAGTGAGCGATCAAGCGCATTGCCCCGAAGTTGCTTGAGCTCGTTATCGTCTCGCTACCCATTGCTCGGACCTTTTGTGGGCGGCTTTTGGACCAGCATCTCAAAACAATGAGTTACTTTGATCCTGCAAAGGACTGGCCGAAACCCATTGAAGACTACGTGTCTATGACCGTTGTATGGGAGGAGCTAGCCTTTCTGGGAGACACACGCAGCCGCCATGAACTCTTAGTGTTTGCGCAAGCTAACCAGTCGCGCCTACCATTGGCAATGGGCATCGTGCAGCCGCATATACCTGTTCGCCGCATGGCCAGCGAGCGCAAAACGCAGCTGACGGATGCATTAGTCAGAATTTTGAAACGGTTTTTGACACCAGCCACAATATCAATGGATGGGGCCCATGACAGTTACTACTGTGAGTCTCTCCTTCCTTTAGCAGCCCACGGTGATGGACATGTCTTGACAGTTTCCATTGCATTGTTACTGGCCATTCTGACAGGAAGATCTGACTTATGTATTGCAGGGGTTTTTGGTGCTGGCAAAACGCGGTCCCTTGCGGTCTTGCTCATTGCCCTGAGCTGCGAACTCAAGGAATTTGTTGCCATCATCTACACGAAAGAAAATGTAGCTGCCAAAGCACTTGCGGATCAATTAAGTGATCTCGCGCCCCCCACAATCAAGAGCTTTGGAAGGCTAATTGGACGCATGGAGGAAGGCAAAGGAGCAGCATATGCCTCCAAGATTGACGTCCGATGCAGTGACCGCAATAGAATCATCGCTCACAAGAATGTACTCATTGCAACAGGTGGCTCGGCCACGGCGGAAATGGCGATGCGCTACTCCAGTTTTGGCCATTGGATCTCTCGCACCTGGCTTGCCTTCATGGATGAAAGTCAACAGTATGGCAACTACCATGAAATTGCAGCTCTCGCTGCTATTCAACAACCAACCCTTACTGTTTTCATTGGTGATCATAGGCAAACTCCAGGCGGATTGTCAAAAGGCCGAGCAGCGGCTGTCAATCGTCGCAAACTGTTGCAACGGCCGTTAGGGCTCCGAGCACTTGATAAGTCAGGAGACTATCTTCCGCCGGCACGAATGGCAGCACTTATGGCGCAGCTTTGGCCTGATGCGAGCCAAGATCCGGAGTCTGATCTCTTCAGTTTGCTGCGACTCGCAAATAAGTCGCATAGTGGCCCATGGACATCCACTCCGCAAGACTACGAGCTGCCTGCTGCCCTGGGGCGTGTGCTTCACTGCCGAATATCATGCCAGCTGGACGCACACAGCAGCCTGATTGCAGCAGCTCTAGCAGTCCTGCTAATTGCCACAGCACCAGAGGAATTTGGAGTACCTGAGTGCACCACAACCCTTGAAGCTGCAGGGTTATGTGGTCCTCACCGGTGGGGTATCATCCTCCCTAACAGCTCACGGGTCTCAATGCTGACCTATCAAGCAATCGTTGCAGTGCGATATCCTGAGTTAGTCCTCCATGAGCCCAATCACATCTACATTGGACACTTTGTGCCACATGAGTCCACTGTGACACAAGGAGGTTTCCGGACAGTGCTTTGGAATGCACCTAAAGACCTCAGAGCTGCTGTTGAGGATGTTGTTGCCTTCTGCACCTACCTGCAGACCTATTATCGCAATTTGCAACAAGGGGCAACCTCGCAGCTGCTTGTCTTATGCAACCGTACGGCGGTGCATAACTTGCTGCTTCAACATGGCTTCCAGTCCGCGTGGTATGGCGGGCTGAGAATTTCCACTACCTCCTCTGCAGCAGGAGCGACAGCGCGCATTGCGGTCATTGTTCAAACAGGTGTCGGGTTTCTAAGTGGTGGTCGTAGGGATGCATCAGCAGACGAGCGTGAGGACTGCTATGGAAGAGCAACCGTAGCGCTCACAAGAGCCATTGAACATACCTATATTGTCTCGCCTCTCGATATGGCAGGCATGATTGGCATGGCTCAGACACTAGGAGTTTATCATTATGGCTACTTCACGCTGAAAGGCCGAGACATTCAGTACCATGGCCCTTCAACCTACCCCACTGACAAAAGTGCCATACTGGACTGGGGATTAGTGGCTCCATTTATTTCCCAAGATAAACCTCCCCTTGCTATTGCCATGATAGTGACCACCAATGGCACACGAGTGTGGCGACGCTATCGGCTGGTGGTGGCATGCAGAGACAAGCTTCGTCTTCCCCCTGATGTCCTTGCTGCACTAGAATCCCGCACGTGTGACCATGTGCTGACGACCAGCGGGTTTTTCCCATGCTCGATTGATCGTGAATACTTGTATGGTTATGCTGCTGATGGGTACAGATCTCCTCTCTGGCTATGTGCAGCCTATAATGGGTCCCCAGCACTTGTTCATCGACATAGAGGCCACAAGGTCTTCTTTCACGTGGGTATACAGGATCGACAACTTGTCGTAATACCAGGTATCCACTACTTCGATGCCCATCGGTTGCAACCGGACCTCTTGGCCACATTGGATCGCCAGTTTGATCCAGGGTCCATGAAATTTGCAAGCCCCGAGGGTGCAGGAGACACAGTGAATGACCCTTCCTCGGATGAGGAAGCAGCCTCTACCGATGCCGAGAGTGATCCAGAGGACCCTACAGTTGCGTGGTGCCCACCTATCCCTGATGCAGCTGAGGATCCATCTGAAGACGAAATCGTGAGTGCAGCTGACCAGCTAGCAATCTTGATTACTAATGTCCAACCTAACGGAAACCCTTTTTGCATACCCGAAAATCTTGGGATTCTCCCGCCGCTGTGGCTACAAGCGAGACTGACGTTGTCTTTGACTGCCATCCAAGAAAAGTTTGCGCGCATTTTACTAAGTGTGGCCTGTGAACTGTGGTTGCGTGGGCAAAGTGCCAGTGTGGAGGATGTCCTCCTGCAGACGGCAAGGGCTCTCACAATTCGATTGGCAGAAAAACTTGCCCAAGCGATGAGCACGTTGATGAGATCAGCTGAGTCCATGGTGACTCCAGAAACTGAATGCCTGTTGTATGCCACGTACTGGTTTCGGCCCATCCTGTCTGAGCTCATCGGCTCGGCCCGAGAGAGCTCTGAGATGAACCGGAGTCGAGCGCCGAGTGGCCCAGTAAAAGTCCTGGTCACTGATCGGCCGCATCGACGCACTACTGGGCTAGTGGACCTTACTAGTGGTGCCTCTGCCCTATTGGCATGGTTCCCGGCTAGCTGGGCTAGCAAAATTGCTCCCAAACTTCTTGAGAATGCCCCTGAGAATGCGCAGAAACCACAAGAAATCAACATCGCGTGCCCGAAACGTTCCTGTGACGAGACTCCAGTGGAAGGAGCAAAACAGCTGCTCCAAGCAGTAAAATTTGCTGCCAAAACCATGCCTGGTTTTCGTCTTGGATTGGATGAAGACTTTCAAATGGCTGGATGCTTCCAGGAGCTCATCCATGGATACACATCAGGGCTCGTTGAACCATACATGATGCGAGGTCTCCAACCACTGGGACCGACTCGCACTACTCTGGAAGTGATCATACCTTCTCAAGAAGGGCTTACACCTGAAAAATGGAAAGAAACAGCCACACTGTGCCCACTTGATTGGCCTTCCAACTACAGTCTGTTGCGATTGTGGCATACCAATGGGAGCCTACATCAAACGGTAGCGCGACTCAGGAATCAACTGTCGCACAGCCATATGTTTGCTGAATGGACAGTGCATCTCAACAGATTTGCAGAGCGTGTTTTGTTCCAGCAACCTGCAGTTTATGTAGCGGGACATGCCTTGCAAGCCAACTTGCGGGAACGAACCTTCCCAGACAGGAAAGTCCGCAGGAGGGTTCCTCCGGAAGATCTGGATGAACATCAACGGGCGATTCGAGCGCTACATCAGCGAGCTATTGCTCAGCAAGCAGCTAACCCAGTATCGTTTGCACTCACCAATGAATGGAACGACACTATCACATCGGACAAGAAGCATCATCTGGAACATTTCATGAGAGGTACGACATGAGCCCTCCAACACCTATTCTCATCACTCTTCCCCTATTTGTGTCCACCATGTCTCTTCTTTCCCCCTGTGTCTCATTTCTGTTTCACTCCGCTTTGTCCCTCATACAACATTGGCTTTTGTTTCATCAGCAACGGAAGTGGGAGTTTACTTTAATCACTATATGGTCTCTCGTCATCTCTACTTCAGGTTACTGTCCATACTGGTGTGTCTGTCCAAAGACGTGACAGGCTACTTGGGCTCGCCTCAGTTGTTTGTCTGCAGGGGTGGGGGTTTGCTGTGCTAGTGTGTGTGTGTGCCGGGTGTTTGCAGGGTTCTGGTTTGGGATGTCTCTACAACCTGCACTTTCAACTTGCACAACCTTGAACAAACAAACAGGTTTCTATTTCGGCAGTTTCGTTTACCGGGCCTCGGCTTATTTGCACTGTTTATTTGGAAGACAACTTCTGAGGATTCATCAACTCGTTTTGAAGTGCTGTCTTATTTCATTTCAGATGAGACATGTCGTACCTTGGATGAAACTTACCTGGGTTGCAGTTTTCAGTTTGACTCCTTTTCAAATGCACGTACTTGAAAGGAACATGGAATGAGAATCGTCTCGATGTGGGAGATCAGGCTCAAACAAATTTTCTGCTAGATGTAGGCTAGGGACCAGGGGCGCAGATGGATGACTGGAGTGGGATTGACAAGATTGACAGTTCACTTTGCAAAGCTTTGCGTGGTGTTTTCAGCTCACCTTTGCATGTTTCTGCAGCTTTTGATGAACTGGAAGCCGCACAGGGACTAGTGGATGATGCACTGGGTAATAGCTACGGTGCTGCGAGGAGAGATGCAATTGCAAGAGCACTCTTGGATTGGAAGGATACCTCAGGTGGTCGGCTTGAGTTCATGCGTCGAGAGGGCATGCAGGAACGTGTATCCCATGGGAAGCTTGCAGAGCACTCCAGTCATATAAATAGCATATCTGATAGTTACGATGGCATAGTTGCAAGTAGCCCCATGCTGGGTTTGGCTTCACTGGAGGGTCAGCTGGCGAAGCGTGCAAAGACTGGCAACACAGCCAGAGCAGATGAGGAGGACAGATCGAAGAAGAAATGGGCCCTGCATTTGGCTGAGATAATAGTGGAGGCCAAGCTTCCAGCAGTTGCGGCATTCACTGGATTGCCCAATGCAAATGCTGCTTGGGTGAGGGCATTTGGTTCTCGCCGTTCAAAGACGTTGCGCAATAGAGCTAGGGCCTGGAAGAAGCTGCGTGATTGGCTGATTATTACAACAGGGACACCTTGGCCATCGGGAGTGGCTATCCTTTTGCAATATTTGGAAGAGCGGAATGAAGTCCAACCCATGGGCAAAACTGTACCGATGTCAATACATTCAACGTTGGCATTATTGGAACTGGTTGGACAAGTCCCGTCAGAGGCTCGTATTTCAGAGGATCAGCTATGGCTGGAATCAGTGAAGTCTTGGACTGCTGAGTTGAGTAGAGATGCACCGCCAAGGCGACAGGCGGACCTGTATACAGTTGCAATCGCTGTGAGTTCAGAACTGACGCTTGCAAATGAAGCGGCTCCACTTGGACAGAGATTTTATTCCTTTGTACTGCTCTTGCTCCTTTGGGGTACAATGCGTTGTGATGATTTACAGAATGTGGATCCAGCTTCTTTGGAGTTGTCTCAGTTGGGACTACGTTTTGTGCTGCGCAGAACTAAGACTAGCGGTCCTGGAAAGCCTGTAGGTGAACTTCAAGGTTTCATTGCGAGAGATATCAGTTTGTCAGGTGTTGATTGGTTGCGTTTAGGCATGGAGCTACTGGAAGAGGAAGAGTTGAATTTTCCTAGGGATTCCTTTGCGATTGGTTTTGCAAATGAATGGGACAAACCTGAACGCAGTTTCCTGGAACCTGAGGGCTTAGCTACGATGTTAAGGAAGCTGCTGTTGACACTCCCCGCGGTGGGGCGCAAGATCAGCGGTCTGAGCCTCATTCAGGGAACCATGTTGATTTCACCGGAAATGGGTTCTTTCTGGACCGGTCACAGTGCCAGACACACCTTGCCGTCTTGGGCAGCTGCAGCAGGTGTCGGTAAAGAGGACCGTGACTACTTAGGCAGATGGAGTTATGCGAAACATGGTTCACAGGATTATGTTTTGACTTCTAGGCAAGTTGTGCACCGCATACAGCGAGCTGTTTGTAAGTTCATCCTGGAGGGCCTTCCGCAACCAGGACTTGTCGAAGAGGAGTTGATGGAACGTATCAAGTCATTTGCAGTCAAGGTAAATGCTGGTCCACTGACAACGGCCAGAAAACATGCTGTTTTGGTTTGGACACTTGCTGGAAGTGCTTGGCATTTAGGTGGTGAGTTTCCCTTGCTTGACACGGGTCCAGTTGCGGCGCCCATGGAGGTTGCACCTGAAACCGAGTCGTTTGAGCCCCAGGATCCAGATGTTTTGCCAGAGGCACCATACTTTATCACGATTTGCAGAAAGACGCATTTCCGACGTCTCCATGTTTCAAAACCGTGTGCAGTACGTCAGGAGCGCTGCTTGGTGACACAACCAGTTTACTCATTGAGTGGTGATGTTGCTGACGCTGTTTGCAAACTGTGCAAACCCAAACTGACAGAGGGACAACAGGGACCAGATAGCTCCAGCAGTTCGAGCTCCAGCAGTTGAAGGTCTCCACCTTAGACCTCCCTTAGGCATGATCTTGCGTTGTGCGTTTCACGGAAAATTGATTGCTGTGGGCTGTGCAGTCTCTCTGATTCTTACATTTCTGGCATGTTAGTGTTGAACATAGATTGAGGGTTTGCGCTGCATTTCATTGAGATTTCATTTGAGTCGAGTAACGCAAGAGGCATTGAGGCCGAAGGTCAGGTTCAGATTTGGATTGATCGCATGTGAGTGAGTGGAGTTGTCTTTGAGTGCCATGAGTTTCGAGTCGAACTTCTTTGAGCTTCTTTTCATGTCTTGCATGTAACCTTCTTGATGCAGGCAGGTGCAGGTTTGATCATGTTGATTGTTTCAGTATTGGAGACCTGGAGAAAAGACCAGGACAAGGTGTTGTTGACACCGTTCTCATTGAGAAATCTCAGTACTATTTCTGCGTGTGTCGTGGTTTTAATAGGTTTGCCACTATGGCACGGGAAGAAGTGAGAGATTCCCGAAGCAACCACGGCTCACTAGCCCCTTAGGGAAGCAGAGGGCCATGAACGCACCAGCAGGTGTTACAGAGAATGATATGCGTGCCTTCTTGCACGACAGAGTGGAAGCTGATTTGGCATACATCTTACAAGAGAACGGTGTGCCATTAGCCTTGCAGTACAATCTCACCCAGGTGTTTGGCCAGCTCAGGCGCTTCAGTGCCATTGCAGACACCCGACAGGGAGTGAGGCAAGCTTTGAGAGATGATTTGCAGGTCCAGGAAAACAGTTTGCAGAATAGAGCTGCAGTGGCTGGAGTTGTAGCTGCTTGGGAAGCCTCCCGAGAGTATGCAGCTAAGCAGGCAGAACTCAAAGCAGAAGCCAGGTTCCTAGGGGTCGCAAGGCCGGTGACTCAGACGGATAGGGCAGCCATGCGGGCAGCTTACATTGCAACACATGGAGAGATCGAAGAGACGTACGAGCCTTCAGATGACTATCTTTCTTCAAAGATTGAGGAATTGGAAGCTCATGAGCCAGTGGCGTCTTATTTGAATGAGGTCACTAGCAAGAAGACAGCCAAAACCATGGGCATTCAGACATCCGTGGATAGTTCAGGTCATGTTCGCATTGTGAAGTCCAGGCAGAAGGGCCAATTGCCGCAAGGCACTGAGGAGCTGCGCACGATCTTGCGCGTCGAGGGCAACACGTGGTGTTATCTTGCTGCAAAGTATCGTAACAATCCAATGTTACATGGCCTGACACCCGACGACTGGCTGAAATATACAAATTTCTTGTTAGGTGACAAGTGTTATCTTATGAAAATTCCAGGGCCAGCCTCATCAGCAGGGAGCTCAGAGATGGTGTCATTGCGTCCTCCTTGGAATGTGATGTTATCTTATGAGTTTGAGTTGAGAAAGGAAGCTGTCAAGAGGGCTTTCAGAAAGAGTAGGCCCCTACGTGAGTGCTTGGAAGAGGTGTGCGCTGATGCTCAACTGAAAGAACAGTATTTCACCAGTCCGATTGCCTTGCAAGGAAAATCCGGACGGGCAGAAGATGCCTCTTCGAACAACAATCGCAACTGGCGCCGACCTGAGTTTCCTGGAGGCAATGGGCCACCGAATAAGTGGCACAAAGGAACTGGCAAGAAAGGTGGCAAAGGCAAGTCGAAACAACGTCAAGGAGGCAAAGGTGGATCTGAGCACTCTATGGTTTCCTTTACAGATGACAATCGACAGATTTGTTTTGCATATAATGCACAAGGCTGCAAAGGCGGCTGCGGCAGAGTTCATGTTTGTAGGGTGCGGGGATGTGGCAAACCGCATCCAATGTGGCAACATTACCAAGGCATGACCCAAGGGGCTGAGAGTGCACCCCCCAACAAGAACTGACAAACGGCAACAGATTTGCCGACGTTGCGGGTGGTCTACTTGTTTGCAGGCGCATCAAGGCGCGGAGACATCAGACAGCAGCTGCAACTATTGGCACATGGCATGTTTCACTTGGAGCTTAAAGAGCTCGATATTGAGCTTCACCATTCCCATGACTTGTCAAAGACAGAACTGTGGGATGATCTATTCAAGGACATTGATCAAGGGCTTGTGGACGTTTTGTTGGTTTCACCACCATGCAATACATTCAGCAGGGCAAGGCACCACTTTCGACAAGGAGGTCCAAGACCACTACGGTCAGCTACTTGGCCGTTGGGCTTCCCTTGGTTACGCATGACAGATCAAGAAACGGTGCAAACTGCAAATTTCTTTATTTTTCAATGTTTGGAAGCTGCAAAGCGAATGCATGCGCAAGGACGGTTTTACTGGTGGGAACACCCTGAGGATTTGGGAAAGACAAGGGCAGGAGATTACCCTGCGTCAATCTGGCAGTTGCAGGCTTTGCGACAGTTGGTGCAGGCGACACAGGCCGCTTCCTGGGCCATACATCAATGCATCTTTGGGGCTCCCACCTCCAAACCGACCAGGTTGATTTCAAATTTACCAAATTGTTTGCAACATGGTGTGAACTGGGCGACTTTTGATGAAGCTGGCTTTTACACAGGACCATTGGGGAAATGTCCCCACATCTCGCACCCACCACTTCTGGGATTTAATGTGGAATTGCAGAAGTGGAACACAGCTGATTCAGCGGCATATCCTGAAGAAATGTGCAAATCAATAGCTTTGGACATAATCTCAGCGCTCCCACAGTGCATGGCTGCGCAGGGGGTACATGACACTGCAACAGCGCCTACTACAGATACACCTACAACCACTGCACTTCCAACAGCCAAGACACCTGCCACCACTTCCACCAACCCTTCAACGGTCATCCAGGACACCACATCAACGACCTCTTCAACTGCGCTCCACAGGGGCAAGGGGCCTGTGTCTGGACCGACTGGATTCAGTGAGCCAGCCAATGGGGAAACTGAGAACGAAGGCAACAAGCCCCATGGAGAGATTTGGATATCATCAGGTGAAGATCAGATAGCTGGAAGTGGGCAGATGCAAGAGGATATGGTGTTTGACAGTACAACCTCTTCTTGTTTTGGACAGCCCATCATTTGCAGATACGAAAGTTGCAAGAAAGAGTTCACTGATGGCTTTGGATTGTGCTCACCGGGCAGGTGGTTGCCAGGGGCTCGCAATTATCTGGCTAAAGGTTCAGCAACAAAGCATGCTGAGCAAGTTGTAGAGATCCTTCACGATTTTTTGGTGAAGGAGATTGGGGACTTGCGGAAGGAAGCATTTCGCTTGGCACTTGGGCAAAGCAGCAATCCCCTTTTGGTCCGGAACAGTTGCAGACATTGAGAAAGAAGATAGCCACCTTGCTCAGACCGGGAGATGAAGATGCTTTACTTGTGCAGCCACCGCGGCAACCTTTCTTTCTTTATTTGCTTGCAGAATCTTTGAGGGAGCTGGATGATCCCGATTGGGAGATACTGGTCCAAGGTGAAGAATGTTTTGCAAAGGGAGTGCCGCTTGGTGTGGAGACCGAGCTTCCAAGAACTCCCCAGGTGTTCAGGCGCAGAGAGAAGTTTAGGCAGCTGGACATCACTGACTTTCAACCGGACATGAAAAACTATGCTACGGCAGAGCTTTCTTCGGAAGAGTTGGAGGCGCACTTCAGAAAGGATGAATTGCTGGGGAGGATGCTTCCCACGACTCTAGCGGAGGCCAAGATGGAGTACGGTGAAGAAGCAGTACTCATTGCAGCAATGGGAGCAATACAGAAACCAGATGGTAGTGTGCGCCCCTTGCATGATGGCACACACGGCATTGGGCTCAACAACAAGATCAAAATACTTGACCGCCTGGAAGTTCCAGGACCAGAGGAGATCATAGAGTTGGTGGCCCTTGCAGCAGAGTCCCGTGAAGCTGCCTTCTGTCTTTCAGCAGATATAAGCCAGGCGCATCGATGCGTGCTCATACGTAAGGCTGACTGGGCACGGTTAGCATGTCGCTCAAAATCAGATTCACGAACATTGTGGCTGAATTGTGTTGGCACCTTTGGAGTTTCAAGCGCAGCATACTGGTGGACTAGATTATTTGCTTGCGTGGGACGATGGGTCCTAAGGATTTTGGATAGGAGACAGACGATGCAGCTGGCATACGTCGACGACGTGCACTTGCTTTGCCTGGGCCCACAGAAATTTGTAGCACTCTGGCTGAGCATACTGGCATATGAGATCATGGGCACACCATTTGCGTACCACAAATTCAGAGGTGGCCTCAATGTGGAGTACGTTGGTTACCAGATGGAATATGACCGACAAGTGGCAGGCATTTCAAAGAAGAGAGCAGAATGGGTCATCAAGTGGATCGATGATGCAGAAAGGAACGGATGGATGGTGCAAGGGAGATCATTTATAGAGTTCACTGGAAGGTTGTCATTTGTTGCGAGGGTGGTCACTTGGATCAAACCATTTCTGGCTCCACTCTTTGCTTGGACATCGGTGCTTGCACGGGGAACCGTCACAAGGGTTCCCACCTTGGTCTTTATTTCTTTGAGATTTTTGCGGCGGCAGATACAACACCATGGACACTGGGTGAGTGCTGGCACCTTGGCAGTCTCCCAGTGAGGCATTCCGTACGGATGCGAAGTGCGAGGACGGACGGATTGTCCTAGCTGGATGGTCTCTGGAAGCTGGAGTGGAAGACTTGAAGAGATCATCATGGTTTTGCTTGGAGGTATACCCTACGGATCTTCCCATGTTCTTCAAAGAAGATGGCTCGTCGCAGTGGTGCTCTACGGCGGCAGAACTCATGGCATCGTACGCAGCTGCGTGCGCTTTCGGCTATTTGAAGGGAGAGAAACGGGTGAAGAATCTGAAACTGGCGATCACTGGCGGGACTGACAACAAGTCTAATCAGTCCTTGCAGAACAAGAACATGTCAACGAAATGGCCGTTGTTAGCGGTTCACATGCAAGTTTCGGCGGAGTTGCTTTCATGCGGAACAAGGATGAAATTGCGCTGGAGACCAAGGGAGCAGAATGTTCCTGCCGACTCCCTCACCAATCAAGACTTCAGTTTATTTGAGTCGGATAACCGTATTCACATCACCTTGGGAGACCTTCCTCTGGAACTGCTGAAGGAGCTTTGTTCGGCGAGAGATGAGTTTGTTGAAGCGAGAGATGGCCAGGTTGGTTTGAGACTGGTTGAAGGCAGGCAGACAAAAAGACAAAAGATGGCAAACAAAACTGTATGGTAACGGGCATCCTGTCTCTAAAGGAGGGGCAGACTCAGACAGATGCTTGATGCGTTGAACCTTCTTAGCTGGTGAATATGCAATGGTTGAAATGCAATTTGGTTTACAAGAAACACTGGCTTGAGACTTTGGTGAAGCTTTGCAGTGCTGGCAGCAGCACAGACTCATACGGCAGGATGTCCACAACCCCCGGTCAAAAAGAACATGCGCTGAGCGATCCTTCTGAGACCATTTCAGTGATGTCCACATTTTCAGTTGCAGCAGCTTTCATTTCATTGATGTCGTTTGAGTTTGGAGATATTCATTTGAGTTTACGTTTCAGGGTTCGTTTGGTTTGGAACTTCGGCAATTGCAGTTACACACACACACACACCTTGCACACACATGCACACACTTACCACCTTCGGTGCTCACCCCTCCCCCTGTAGATGACTTCTGGGGTCCCCACAACGGAAGACAAGCTACTTGGGCTCGCCTCAGTTGTTTGTCTGCAGGGGTGGGGGTTTGCTGTGCTAGTGTGTGTGTGTGTGCCGGGTGTTTGCAGGGTTCTGGTTTGGGATGTCTCTACAACCTGCACTTTCAACTTGCACAACCTTGAACAAACAAACAGGTTTCTATTTCGGCAGTTTCGTTTACCGGGCCTCGGCTTATTTGCACTGTTTATTTGGAAGACAACTTCTGAGGATTCATCAACTCGTTTTGAAGTGCTGTCTTATTTCATTTCAGATGAGACATGTCGTACCTTGGATGAAACTTACCTGGGTTGCAGTTTTCAGTTTGACTCCTTTTCAAATGCACGTACTTGAAAGGAACATGGAATGAGAATCGTCTCGATGTGGGAGATCAGGCTCAAACAAATTTTCTGCTACCCACCCTCCCTCACCTTGGGGGGGAATGCAGTCTTTACGTGACAACCGAATCGAAGTTTACACTGCGGAACAACTGGATCGATATGAGCAGCTTTTCGATCTACCACTGACCCGTACCATTTTCGGTCTGGGTGTACAACAGAGCATTAGCTTTGTGACCTTTCTGACCATTGGTGACGTTTGCATCCTACGCGTTTGCTGCTTCGCCATCGCAGTCGAAATTCACGATGTCATCGATGACATGACTTTGGTTGGATTGGAAATACAACAGTCTCCCATTGAGGGGCAGACTCAGACAGATGCTTGATGCGTTGAACCTTCTTAGCTGGTGAATATGCAATGGTTGAAATGCAATTTGGTTTACAAGAAACACTGGCTTGAGACTTTGGTGAAGCTTTGCAGTGCTGGCAGCAGCACAGACTCATACGGCAGGATGTCCACAACCCCCGGTCAAAAAGAACATGCGCTGAGCGATCCTTCTGAGACCATTTCAGTGATGTCCACATTTTCAGTTGCAGCAGCTTTCATTTCATTGATGTCGTTTGAGTTTGGAGATATTCATTTGAGTTTACGTTTCAGGGTTCGTTTGGTTTGGAACTTTGGCAATTGCAGTTACACACACACACACACACACCTTGCACACACATGCACACACTTACCACCTTCGGTGCTCACCCCTCCCCCTGTAGATGACTTCTGGGGTCCCCACAACGGAAGACAAGTGCATTGGTATGCAGTCGGGGACACAGCTCTTCCTTATTTATAATTGTCAGGTTCCTCATGACCCATGCCTGGGAGGTTACTTCCATACTGGTGTGTCTGTCCAAAGACGTGACAGGTGCACTGGTATGCAGTAGGTGACACAGACCTCCCTCATTCATACTTGTCAAAAATGTTCTGCCCCATGCCTGGCCCCTACTGATTCAGACCTCCAACAGCCAGTAGCCACACACATGTGTTCTCATGTGTGAGTGATAGCCTAGGCATAATAAACCGAGCAGCATGCTTTCCCCTTGCACTAGTGCTTAGAATGTGTTGTCCAGTCGAGAGCTTAGCTTATACTAAGGCCTCCTCACACCATGAAGCCTACTGCATGAGCGCACGCTCTCGTACCCGGTGCCTGACAATCATAGATGATGATGCAACCGTTTCCGTTATCCCCTGACGTAATACTGACGAGACTACCCCTCTCCCACCCTTCCCACTAGTTAAGGTACGTGAATTCATCGTCTTACCTATAGTTTTTGCAATTTGCAGAGTTACAGTAGGCGTAGTGCCTCGGTTGTTGATTCTGTTTTGGTTTTTGTTTGGTCCCTGCCTGCCGTAGCCCTCCCTCCCCCTCGGATGGTCCTCGTTGGCGCCCTGGTCCAGGTTTTACTGGTCCCTCCCTCTGGGTATCGTTGCTTCCGGCGACGGCCTGGTTGCCGTGCCTCTGCGCGTGGAGTGTTTGTTGCGCACTGTTTCCCCTCCTCATGATGTCTCATGGCAACAAAGGCCTTGGCCCTGTGTGGGGATCTTTCCCTCTACACCATGTTTCCTGTGTGGTTGGGGTGCTGTGTGCTCCCTCACTGAGGTATTCATCATTGTATGATCCTTGTCCCCTTCTTGGACTCCGCTAAGACACGTTCGTACCCCTTCTTGTGCGTGTGTGTCCTCTCTCTCTCTGTCCTCTGCTGCCTCCTGGCTCCTCTCCTCGTTTCCTCTGTTGGCTTGTAGCATTGCATGGGTTGTACTTTGGCCGCTCCCCCCTCTTTGCTTCCCCCTTGATGGCAGGTGTCGTGTTGTTTGGGCGTGTGTTGTTTTTGCTTCCTCTGTTGCCTGGATACCGAGGTTACAGCTCTGCACAGTCACCCATCTTTTCACCATGGCTACATTGATCTCATCCGGTAGTGACTAAGGATTTATCCGAGGTGGGACAGCCTTTGCTCACCTTCCCCTCCCCTTTTTTGTTAATTTGATCCCCTTTTGAATTCGTTTGTTTGTTTGTTTGTTTGTTTGTGTTTTATTTGGCAGGTGGCTTCCTCTTTGGCTGTATTGGGATGGGCCCTTCTCTCTCCGTTTTTTTTGTTCCTGTGTGTTTTCTTATGGGGCGGTAGATTCCCGGTAGAGCCATGGACTAGGCTGCACTGCAGTGAGCTCTACTGGCGCTGTCCAGTTGTACTTCCTGCAGTTCAGTCTGGAGCGCCCGAGTGCAGCAAAGCCTGCCCACATGGTTCGTTGTGCGGATTTTCTGTATTGCTCTGGCCTATGGCCCACTCGGTGGGAGAGTGGCTTTGTCTGGAATATACAGTTGCCTTTCTGTGCATCCGGTCCTCTCCGCAGAACTTGCTGGGACGATGACGCCTAGTGACTCCTGTCTGAGTATCTGGTGCTGGCGCACCGAACCACCTCATCTTTGATCGTTTTAGTGAACAAGTCTTACAGCAATGCGAGTGCGACTTTTGTATACCTACCTGCAGTATCATACTGGAAGTGCTCACGAGCCCATGTTATGATCGAAACATCATTTGTCTGTCATGGCCGTACTGAGCCGGTCAGGCCTTTAGCCACCGTTTCACCCACGGCCTTAGTGTCTTGGGCACAAGTCACGTGACGGTTTCTGCAAGTGCTCACACCATGTTGCAGGCTGTCAGTGCTCTCCTCCCTGTCTTGGGGGGGAAATAGATTACAGTCCCTTGCGGTGGTGTATACTGACAGGAACAGATCGCCTGGCGTACGCTGAACAATACAGGGTGAACAGCAGCGATGCGGAAGTTGATTTATTGACAAATCGTTCATACAGGCGGCCTCTGTCGAACCACACATCAGTCTGCCTACAATATTGGACTCTCTTTGCTGTTCTCAGGTAAGACGGTCTGGGCAACAGGTACAACACTTCATGCACCGCCGCAATTAATTAGTTTGCATGTTTTTGAGGATGATACAGTGGCTAAGGTCGCTGTATCCAAGGCAAATCTGAGAGTTTTTTGTTTTGGTTCTTGTTGGGCCCTGCCCCTTTCTTTGTTGCTTCGCTGTCTTGCTTTGTGGCGAAACGCAAATCTGGCTGGGGGATTTGCGGGTCGTTTTTGGTTGTGGTTCTTGTTGTTTGGTTTGTTTCTCGTGATGATTTGCCGGAGATTTTGGACCACACGAGTCCTGTACACTACTGCTTTTCACTGCTTACGCAATTGTAAGGACCGTGCCTAGTGCGAATCGGCCAAACCGGAGGAAAAAAAAAAGGAAGACACCCACGCCGTATTGCAGCAAACAGAACTCCTTGCAGGTGTTATCAACGAGCAAGACTGCAGAGACATTCGCACAGTCTGCTGTTGCATAAGAAGTCGAGTAGAAGCCCGTGCCAATGTTACAGAACGTGAAGTGATTAGTCGACAGCTACAGCTCATGCATGCGAGCGTACAACATTACCAGACTGAGGACCTTAACACAGCTGACACAAGTTGCCTGTCCAGAACCTCGTTTGAACACTTTGAGAATAGACCTGGTCCCTGGGCAGAGAAAAACGC